AAAATATAATGTTCCATTTAAGAAATTGAAGTTGACCGTCACGTAACCTTCAAATGGCTATTCAAGGTCAAATCAATGACACCATCTTATGTCCCCCTTGAAACCATACAACTTTTATCTGAAACATTTTTGTCTTAAACTTTTGAATTTTGAGAAATTTTAGTGCAAAGATTAAAATGGCTTACCCTGTATATAAATATATATATATACATATATATATATATTTGTATGTATGTATGTATGTAGGTGTAATTTTATAAGAACATTCAAATAGACGTTTAAAATGCAATTTTTATTTTTATTTTTAATTTTTATTTTAATTTTTTTTTATTAAAATGCAATTCTCAATTTTTTTTATCTGAAAGATAATGCAATCCTTTGTTTATTTTTTCATGTGATAATGCAATCCTTTGTTTATTTTTCATTAATTGATAATTATTATTATAGTTTTTATAGTAGTTAGTGCCAGAGGCGGTCTATTCGTGTGCTGGTTTAAAAAATAATTCCAGAGGCGATCTATTCGTGTGCTGGTTGTTTTAAAAAATAATTCCAGAGGCGATCTAATCGTGTGCTGGTTGTTTTAAAACTGTAATTCCAGAGGCGATCTATTCGTGTGCTGGTTGTTTTAAAACTGTAATTCCAGAGGCGATCGATTCGTGTGCTGGTTGTTTTAAAACTGTAATTCCAGAGGCGATCTATTCGTGTGCTGGTTGTTTTAAAAATAATTCCAGAGGCGATCTATTCGTGTGCTGGTTGTTTTAAAAAATAATTCCAGAGGCGATCTATTCGTGTGCTGGTTATTTTAAAAAATAATTCCAGAGGCGATCTATTCGTGTGCTGGTTGTTTTAAAAAATAATTCCAGAGGCGATCTATTCGTGTGCTGGTTGTTTTAAAAAATAATTCCAGAGGCGATCTATTCGTGTGCTGGTTGTTTTAAAAAATAATTCCACAGGCGATCTATTCGTTTGCTGATAACTGTACAAAATATTTTACCCCAGATGCAGTTTGCATGTGCGCAAAATTCTCAGAAGCGATATTGCAATGTTGAAACTTTATAACTTATCATGTGATAGTGACTTTCACGTAATCTTTATGACTGTGCAAGGTCAACACTAATGGTACTATTTTATAGTTCCTTTGAAACCGTACAACTTTTGTTGTTTTATTATAAAATGCATTGAAACAAAGAGATATTAGGGGTAGTAAAAATGGGACACCTTGTATAAATACACACACGCATACATATGTGTATATGTATGTGTAACAACCTGTGTATATATAATTTTTATATAATTATAAATTATATAAAATGGGACACCCTGTATATGTATGTGTGTGTCGATTGACAACTTTTTTATTGCGACATCTGTCGAGTTTTGTCGATAATTATATTTAAAAAATCTTCATTATCGACCCTATCGGAGTTCGCCCGTGCATTTAGGATCCCCTTAAAGATCTCGTGCACAAAAAACCTCGAGAAACCATTAGAGAACTCGCCAACACTTTGCACAAGCTGTTTCCACCGCGCTCAAATTTATATAGAAAATTTGAAGTTAAAATTGTCGCTCTCAATTGGAAAAAAATATTATAAATACTAAAGCTAATAGTTGTAGTTAGAATATTTATTATATTAATATAGATTTAGACACACAATTCAACATACCAACTATTCTCTGCTTTAAAAAAACTTACATTATTATTTTCTTTGATAAATATGCAGTTTTATTGTGTGATTATGTGTGTGTGTGTGTGTGTGAACTATATTGTAATATATTGAATTTAATGGTTAAAAAAAATAATTTATGCTTTTTTTTAGAGTAGAGAATAATTGGTACACTGAAAAGTAATTAATAACTTTTTTATTAATTGAAAGCAGTAATTTTAACTTGTAGATTCGTGTTTTACGCACTATTTATAAAATAATTAAAATGCACAAAATTGCGAAATTTCAATGAAATCGATAAGGAAGCCTCTCTTCTTCATAATTACCAAGAGTAAACAAATATATTTTAAATATTTTCGTTATATATATATATATATATATATTATATATACCTCTTATTCTTTATTGTTCCTTCTTCTCTTCTTTTTTTCAATATATTTCTATATTTTTCTCTTTCTCTCTTTGTTTTTTAATATCTTCTTACTTTTTCTAATAAAATTTTATACTTATTTTTTTCTTTAATTATATTTTCTTTATAGACATAATATTGTGAAAACTTTTGTGAAATATTATGATATATGTATGAAGTAAGTCATGAACAAGACACACGAGATGACCTTAGAACAAATAAATTTATAGAAAGGAAATAGTATATATTTTTCTAAAAAAAAATTATTCAAAAATAATTGTACAAAAGAAAAAGTATAGTAATGCCTATTCATCTATATAAATATGCGTTAACTTGGTAGATATGAATAATAGTTCAAAATTTCTAGGTTAAAATAGATAATTGTTTTCATATTTTCGAATAAAGTAGGTATAATTAATCTGAGATCATAAATATAGAAATATTCCTATGTCTATGTCTAAGATCGATTAATAATATATTTCACCAATCATAATCCTTTATTCTTCAGAGAAATGGTTGTGATTGGCCATATTTCAGATAGTTTTAAAACAAAGCGGATCCATTGTTTCAAATAAATGATTTATTTAAACTTATTCAACTAAATATTAGTTGAATTTAAATAATCTTTTTTTCAGTGTGTAATACAATGTATTTTATGAAATAAAATTAAATTTTATGAGAATGTTTTCGTAAACATATTGCATTATTGCATATATTCTTCTAGAGACTATACAGTATGCTGTATCAATTTTTTCCAAACTTTGACATTAACTAAAATATAATTATTTCAATAATGTTGAAAATAGATGTCACCACTCGTTACATAAATAATGATGTTTCAAATATGATGTTATATGTAATACAATGTACTTTATGAAATAAAATTAAATTTTATGTAGAATGTTTTTGTAAGCATATTGCATTATCACAATTGATAGGATTTTAATTAAATAATTAAGCAAATTTATCTATTTATAAAATAATTAAGAGAAAAAGATATAATATCATTTTACTTCAGTACTCTCTAGCCAAAATTTATGATACATTAAACTAATTATTATGTCGAAATAGGCTATCTTTTTGCTTACTCCTGAGTAAATTAAACATAAAAACAGAGATCGATAATATTAAAAAGAAAAAGAATCCTTCGATTTGCAAAATTTAATTTTTTATTTTACATCTGCATAGAAAGTATGAATGATGATTAATAAACGACTAATCCTGTAGTTTGAAATCTGATTTAAATATAATTATTGTACTCGATATCTCGGCCATATTAAAATTAAATATGAATAATATCTACATTCTTGCAATATATAATAATACAACATATGATATACACAATAATTAAGTACAAAAATATCCTATAAATTGTCGTAATGCAATTTGCTTACGAAAACATTTTACATAAAATTTAATTTTATTTCATAAAATACATTATAATACATAACATCATTTTTGAAAAACCATTACTTATGTAACGAATGGTGATATTTATTTTTAACATCATTGAAATAATTATATTTTACTTAATGTCAAAGTTCGATAAAAAATTGATACTTGATACTATATATAGTTTCTAGAAGAGTATATAAAATAATACTTTCAAAATATTATAACGTTTAAATAACACGAAAGTGAAACTAATTATAACCAAACATTGTGAACGCGTTAAAAAAAAATTTTTTTAATATTAGAATTATTTTCACATATTATTTAATAAAATGGAAAAGAATCATTATTTTCGAATCATTTTGCGTGGTGGTAATCCTAAATCTTCATTGGATGTTTTTTTTACAATTGGTCTTGTACCCAACAATAATTGTTGAAATGATAACTTTTCCTCTCCTATTTGCTTTATGTCTGTTGAATGATCAATCTCCAAATAAAATATGTCATCTAAATGATAAAATTATAATATTAATGACAGTTATATAGTAATTATATTTTTGGAAATTTTAAAACTTTTTCACATAGCTTACTCATAATTTTTACATATCCTTTCATTTCAATCATTTGCCCCTTGTCAAAGTAGACATCATTATCATAATTTACTATTTGTATCTCCAATTTATACGTCTTATCTGTAATGGATCCGCAGCCAATTGTTTTAAAACTATTTAGAAATTTATTAAAATTCGTTTTAATGTATCCACGTATAACTGAAAAAAATTTTATTAATTTTTAGTTTATCACAAGATTCATCTTTAGTTCATCAGTATCATTTTTAGTTTATCACTGTATTATAACGAATTGACTTATAGAAAATATTTAAATCTCATAATTATAAAAATCAAACAGTATAAAAATAAGAAATTATGTAAAAAATATGTATATAAAAGATTTATAAAAGCATATAGTTACATATTTATACGTACGTTTGCATACAAATGTTTATCGATATATAAGAAATACCGGATTTTAGTATAAAGTATATTATATACATATAAAAACACTTACTAATGCATGCATTAAGATGTTGAGGTACATCACACAATTCCACTAATTGTGGTTGCACCGCTTGAATGTTTTTTTTTAGGTCAAATTACCCAACGTATTTATTGTCGTGTTGGATCGAATAATTAGTTCGTATTGAAGTGTCCCTTTGTTGAATTCAGGTATTTTTACCTTTTTAGCCTTAGCACCATCAATATGCACAATCTGCAAAATTAACAAATTATTATTAAATTAAATATGTATATTAAATTAATATTATTCTAATACTACTGTTTTATATGTACTTTATTGGAATAAACTTTTTTTTTAAATATTACAACAAAATGATAATAAAAATAATAATTTTAATGTTATAAAAAATAAATTATACAAAAATGTATCGCTTACTCGATTTGGTTGTATATAAAAATTTATACGATCAATTTCTTCGTTCCAGGCAACAACTTGAATGCGATGTTTACTGTTGTTGTTCACCAAAATTTTAACAATCTATAATGTTGGGATTTACCAACTATCTTCGGACCGTCAATTTCATCGATAAATCCAACAATTTCTCTAAATAAATTTTTTATTAAAATTAGTAATATAATAATATTTTAATTTGTTTTAATTATCAAGCTAAAATATTAAATATTATGTTCTTTTATTTGTTAATTACAACAAAAGATAATAATTTTTAAAACTCTTATATTTGATACACGCTGGCTTAAAAAATGCGTTTGTTTACCAACATTAATATATATAACAGAGAAAAGTATAGAATCGAAAGGATCTGAATAGCTCAGCTGGAAGAGCAGTCGCCCGGCAAGTGAAAGGTCTCGGGTTCGATTCCCGATTCAGCGATTTTCGGATCTATATTTTTCTCTTGCATTCATTTATTTATTTTCCGTAGGGGGGTTAAAGGGGTATTGAAATTAAATCTCAAAATATGAGATTATTTCATATTTAAAATCTTGGCCGTGTCCAAGTAAAAATTTGGTGCCTTGTGCACCGGTATTTAATTCTAACGAAAAATTATTTAGTTTCGTTAGGATAACGCATTGTCATCCGCGATTTGGCTCTTGTTGCCCGTCTTATACGTTAAATTTATATTTATATTACAGAGCCTTGTTAAAACTCTTATATTTGATACACGCTGGCTTAAAAAATGCGTTTGTTTACCAACATTAATATATATAACAGAGAAAAGTATAGAATCGAAAGGATCTGAATAGCTCAGCTGGAAGAGCAGTCGCCCGGCAAGTGAAAGGTCTCGGGTTCGATTCCCGATTCAGCGATTTTCGGATCTATATTTTTCTCTTGCATTCATTTATTTATTTTCCGTAGGGGGGTTAAAGGGGTATTGAAATTAAATCTCAAAATATGAGATTATTTCATATTTAAAATCTTGGCCGTGTCCAAGTAAAAATTTGGTGCCTTGTGCACCGGTATTTAATTCTAACGAAAAATTATTTAGTTTCGTTAGGATAACGCATTGTCATCCGCGATTTGGCTCTTGTTGCCCGTCTTATACGTTAAATTTATATTTATATTACAGAGCCTTGTTAAAACTCTTATATTTGATACACGCTGGCTTAAAAAATGCGTTTGTTTACCAACATTAATATATATAACAGAGAAAAGTATAGAATCGAAAGGATCTGAATAGCTCAGCTGGAAGAGCAGTCGCCCGGCAAGTGAAAGGTCTCGGGTTCGATTCCCGATTCAGCGATTTTCGGATCTATATTTTTCTCTTGCATTCATTTATTTATTTTCCGTAGGGGGGTTAAAGGGGTATTGAAATTAAATCTCAAAATATGAGATTATTTCATATTTAAAATCTTGGCCGTGTCCAAGTAAAAATTTGGTGCCTTGTGCACCGGTATTTAATTCTAACGAAAAATTATTTAGTTTCGTTAGGATAACGCATTGTCATCCGCGATTTGGCTCTTGTTGCCCGTCTTATACGTTAAATTTATATTTATATTACAGAGCCTTGTTAAAACTCTTATATTTGATACACGCTGGCTTAAAAAATGCGTTTGTTTACCAACATTAATATATATAACAGAGAAAAGTATAGAATCGAAAGGATCTGAATAGCTCAGCTGGAAGAGCAGTCGCCCGGCAAGTGAAAGGTCTCGGGTTCGATTCCCGATTCAGCGATTTTCGGATCTATATTTTTCTCTTGCATTCATTTATTTATTTTCCGTAGGGGGGTTAAAGGGGTATTGAAATTAAATCTCAAAATATGAGATTATTTCATATTTAAAATCTTGGCCGTGTCCAAGTAAAAATTTGGTGCCTTGTGCACCGGTATTTAATTCTAACGAAAAATTATTTAGTTTCGTTAGGATAACGCATTGTCATCCGCGATTTGGCTCTTGTTGCCCGTCTTATACGTTAAATTTATATTTATATTACAGAGCCTTGTTAAAACTCTTATATTTGATACACGCTGGCTTAAAAAATGCGTTTGTTTACCAACATTAATATATATAACAGAGAAAAGTATAGAATCGAAAGGATCTGAATAGCTCAGCTGGAAGAGCAGTCGCCCGGCAAGTGAAAGGTCTCGGGTTCGATTCCCGATTCAGCGATTTTCGGATCTATATTTTTCTCTTGCATTCATTTATTTATTTTCCGTAGGGGGGTTAAAGGGGTATTGAAATTAAATCTCAAAATATGAGATTATTTCATATTTAAAATCTTGGCCGTGTCCAAGTAAAAATTTGGTGCCTTGTGCACCGGTATTTAATTCTAACGAAAAATTATTTAGTTTCGTTAGGATAACGCATTGTCATCCGCGATTTGGCTCTTGTTGCCCGTCTTATACGTTAAATTTATATTTATATTACAGAGCCTTGTTAAAACTCTTATATTTGATACACGCTGGCTTAAAAAATGCGTTTGTTTACCAACATTAATATATATAACAGAGAAAAGTATAGAATCGAAAGGATCTGAATAGCTCAGCTGGAAGAGCAGTCGCCCGGCAAGTGAAAGGTCTCGGGTTCGATTCCCGATTCAGCGATTTTCGGATCTATATTTTTCTCTTGCATTCATTTATTTATTTTCCGTAGGGGGGTTAAAGGGGTATTGAAATTAAATCTCAAAATATGAGATTATTTCATATTTAAAATCTTGGCCGTGTCCAAGTAAAAATTTGGTGCCTTGTGCACCGGTATTTAATTCTAACGAAAAATTATTTAGTTTCGTTAGGATAACGCATTGTCATCCGCGATTTGGCTCTTGTTGCCCGTCTTATACGTTAAATTTATATTTATATTACAGAGCCTTGTTAAAACTCTTATATTTGATACACGCTGGCTTAAAAAATGCGTTTGTTTACCAACATTAATATATATAACAGAGAAAAGTATAGAATCGAAAGGATCTGAATAGCTCAGCTGGAAGAGCAGTCGCCCGGCAAGTGAAAGGTCTCGGGTTCGATTCCCGATTCAGCGATTTTCGGATCTATATTTTTCTCTTGCATTCATTTATTTATTTTCCGTAGGGGGGTTAAAGGGGTATTGAAATTAAATCTCAAAATATGAGATTATTTCATATTTAAAATCTTGGCCGTGTCCAAGTAAAAATTTGGTGCCTTGTGCACCGGTATTTAATTCTAACGAAAAATTATTTAGTTTCGTTAGGATAACGCATTGTCATCCGCGATTTGGCTCTTGTTGCCCGTCTTATACGTTAAATTTATATTTATATTACAGAGCCTTGTTAAAACTCTTATATTTGATACACGCTGGCTTAAAAAATGCGTTTGTTTACCAACATTAATATATATAACAGAGAAAAGTATAGAATCGAAAGGATCTGAATAGCTCAGCTGGAAGAGCAGTCGCCCGGCAAGTGAAAGGTCTCGGGTTCGATTCCCGATTCAGCGATTTTCGGATCTATATTTTTCTCTTGCATTCATTTATTTATTTTCCGTAGGGGGGTTAAAGGGGTATTGAAATTAAATCTCAAAATATGAGATTATTTCATATTTAAAATCTTGGCCGTGTCCAAGTAAAAATTTGGTGCCTTGTGCACCGGTATTTAATTCTAACGAAAAATTATTTAGTTTCGTTAGGATAACGCATTGTCATCCGCGATTTGGCTCTTGTTGCCCGTCTTATACGTTAAATTTATATTTATATTACAGAGCCTTGTTAAAACTCTTATATTTGATACACGCTGGCTTAAAAAATGCGTTTGTTTACCAACATTAATATATATAACAGAGAAAAGTATAGAATCGAAAGGATCTGAATAGCTCAGCTGGAAGAGCAGTCGCCCGGCAAGTGAAAGGTCTCGGGTTCGATTCCCGATTCAGCGATTTTCGGATCTATATTTTTCTCTTGCATTCATTTATTTATTTTCCGTAGGGGGGTTAAAGGGGTATTGAAATTAAATCTCAAAATATGAGATTATTTCATATTTAAAATCTTGGCCGTGTCCAAGTAAAAATTTGGTGCCTTGTGCACCGGTATTTAATTCTAACGAAAAATTATTTAGTTTCGTTAGGATAACGCATTGTCATCCGCGATTTGGCTCTTGTTGCCCGTCTTATACGTTAAATTTATATTTATATTACAGAGCCTTGTTAAAACTCTTATATTTGATACACGCTGGCTTAAAAAATGCGTTTGTTTACCAACATTAATATATATAACAGAGAAAAGTATAGAATCGAAAGGATCTGAATAGCTCAGCTGGAAGAGCAGTCGCCCGGCAAGTGAAAGGTCTCGGGTTCGATTCCCGATTCAGCGATTTTCGGATCTATATTTTTCTCTTGCATTCATTTATTTATTTTCCGTAGGGGGGTTAAAGGGGTATTGAAATTAAATCTCAAAATATGAGATTATTTCATATTTAAAATCTTGGCCGTGTCCAAGTAAAAATTTGGTGCCTTGTGCACCGGTATTTAATTCTAACGAAAAATTATTTAGTTTCGTTAGGATAACGCATTGTCATCCGCGATTTGGCTCTTGTTGCCCGTCTTATACGTTAAATTTATATTTATATTACAGAGCCTTGTTAAAACTCTTATATTTGATACACGCTGGCTTAAAAAATGCGTTTGTTTACCAACATTAATATATATAACAGAGAAAAGTATAGAATCGAAAGGATCTGAATAGCTCAGCTGGAAGAGCAGTCGCCCGGCAAGTGAAAGGTCTCGGGTTCGATTCCCGATTCAGCGATTTTCGGATCTATATTTTTCTCTTGCATTCATTTATTTATTTTCCGTAGGGGGGTTAAAGGGGTATTGAAATTAAATCTCAAAATATGAGATTATTTCATATTTAAAATCTTGGCCGTGTCCAAGTAAAAATTTGGTGCCTTGTGCACCGGTATTTAATTCTAACGAAAAATTATTTAGTTTCGTTAGGATAACGCATTGTCATCCGCGATTTGGCTCTTGTTGCCCGTCTTATACGTTAAATTTATATTTATATTACAGAGCCTTGTTAAAACTCTTATATTTGATACACGCTGGCTTAAAAAATGCGTTTGTTTACCAACATTAATATATATAACAGAGAAAAGTATAGAATCGAAAGGATCTGAATAGCTCAGCTGGAAGAGCAGTCGCCCGGCAAGTGAAAGGTCTCGGGTTCGATTCCCGATTCAGCGATTTTCGGATCTATATTTTTCTCTTGCATTCATTTATTTATTTTCCGTAGGGGGGTTAAAGGGGTATTGAAATTAAATCTCAAAATATGAGATTATTTCATATTTAAAATCTTGGCCGTGTCCAAGTAAAAATTTGGTGCCTTGTGCACCGGTATTTAATTCTAACGAAAAATTATTTAGTTTCGTTAGGATAACGCATTGTCATCCGCGATTTGGCTCTTGTTGCCCGTCTTATACGTTAAATTTATATTTATATTACAGAGCCTTGTTAAAACTCTTATATTTGATACACGCTGGCTTAAAAAATGCGTTTGTTTACCAACATTAATATATATAACAGAGAAAAGTATAGAATCGAAAGGATCTGAATAGCTCAGCTGGAAGAGCAGTCGCCCGGCAAGTGAAAGGTCTCGGGTTCGATTCCCGATTCAGCGATTTTCGGATCTATATTTTTCTCTTGCATTCATTTATTTATTTTCCGTAGGGGGGTTAAAGGGGTATTGAAATTAAATCTCAAAATATGAGATTATTTCATATTTAAAATCTTGGCCGTGTCCAAGTAAAAATTTGGTGCCTTGTGCACCGGTATTTAATTCTAACGAAAAATTATTTAGTTTCGTTAGGATAACGCATTGTCATCCGCGATTTGGCTCTTGTTGCCCGTCTTATACGTTAAATTTATATTTATATTACAGAGCCTTGTTAAAACTCTTATATTTGATACACGCTGGCTTAAAAAATGCGTTTGTTTACCAACATTAATATATATAACAGAGAAAAGTATAGAATCGAAAGGATCTGAATAGCTCAGCTGGAAGAGCAGTCGCCCGGCAAGCGAAAGGTCTCGGGTTCGATTCCCGATTCAGCGATTTTCGGATCTATATTTTTCTCTTGCATTCATTTATTTATTTTCCGTAGGGGGGTTAAAGGGGTATTGAAATTAAATCTCAAAATATGAGATTATTTCATATTTAAAATCTTGGCCGTGTCCAAGTAAAAATTTGGTGCCTTGTGCACCGGTATTTAATTCTAACGAAAAATTATTTAGTTTCGTTAGGATAACGCATTGTCATCCGCGATTTGGCTCTTGTTGCCCGTCTTATACGTTAAATTTATATTTATATTACAGAGCCTTGTTAAAACTCTTATATTTGATACACGCTGGCTTAAAAAATGCGTTTGTTTACCAACATTAATATATATAACAGAGAAAAGTATAGAATCGAAAGGATCTGAATAGCTCAGCTGGAAGAGCAGTCGCCCGGCAAGTGAAAGGTCTCGGGTTCGATTCCCGATTCAGCGATTTTCGGATCTATATTTTTCTCTTGCATTCATTTATTTATTTTCCGTAGGGGGGTTAAAGGGGTATTGAAATTAAATCTCAAAATATGAGATTATTTCATATTTAAAATCTTGGCCGTGTCCAAGTAAAAATTTGGTGCCTTGTGCACCGGTATTTAATTCTAACGAAAAATTATTTAGTTTCGTTAGGATAACGCATTGTCATCCGCGATTTGGCTCTTGTTGCCCGTCTTATACGTTAAATTTATATTTATATTACAGAGCCTTGTTAAAACTCTTATATTTGATACACGCTGGCTTAAAAAATGCGTTTGTTTACCAACATTAATATATATAACAGAGAAAAGTATAGAATCGAAAGGATCTGAATAGCTCAGCTGGAAGAGCAGTCGCCCGGCAAGTGAAAGGTCTCGGGTTCGATTCCCGATTCAGCGATTTTCGGATCTATATTTTTCTCTTGCATTCATTTATTTATTTTCCGTAGGGGGGTTAAAGGGGTATTGAAATTAAATCTCAAAATATGAGATTATTTCATATTTAAAATCTTGGCCGTGTCCAAGTAAAAATTTGGTGCCTTGTGCACCGGTATTTAATTCTAACGAAAAATTATTTAGTTTCGTTAGGATAACGCATTGTCATCCGCGATTTGGCTCTTGTTGCCCGTCTTATACGTTAAATTTATATTTATATTACAGAGCCTTGTTAAAACTCTTATATTTGATACACGCTGGCTTAAAAAATGCGTTTGTTTACCAACATTAATATATATAACAGAGAAAAGTATAGAATCGAAAGGATCTGAATAGCTCAGCTGGAAGAGCAGTCGCCCGGCAAGTGAAAGGTCTCGGGTTCGATTCCCGATTCAGCGATTTTCGGATCTATATTTTTCTCTTGCATTCATTTATTTATTTTCCGTAGGGGGGTTAAAGGGGTATTGAAATTAAATCTCAAAATATGAGATTATTTCATATTTAAAATCTTGGCCGTGTCCAAGTAAAAATTTGGTGCCTTGTGCACCGGTATTTAATTCTAACGAAAAATTATTTAGTTTCGTTAGGATAACGCATTGTCATCCGCGATTTGGCTCTTGTTGCCCGTCTTATACGTTAAATTTATATTTATATTACAGAGCCTTGTTAAAACTCTTATATTTGATACACGCTGGCTTAAAAAATGCGTTTGTTTACCAACATTAATATATATAACAGAGAAAAGTATAGAATCGAAAGGATCTGAATAGCTCAGCTGGAAGAGCAGTCGCCCGGCAAGTGAAAGGTCTCGGGTTCGATTCCCGATTCAGCGATTTTCGGATCTATATTTTTCTCTTGCATTCATTTATTTATTTTCCGTAGGGGGGTTAAAGGGGTATTGAAATTAAATCTCAAAATATGAGATTATTTCATATTTAAAATCTTGGCCGTGTCCAAGTAAAAATTTGGTGCCTTGTGCACCGGTATTTAATTCTAACGAAAAATTATTTAGTTTCGTTAGGATAACGCATTGTCATCCGCGATTTGGCTCTTGTTGCCCGTCTTATACGTTAAATTTATATTTATATTACAGAGCCTTGTTAAAACTCTTATATTTGATACACGCTGGCTTAAAAAATGCGTTTGTTTACCAACATTAATATATATAACAGAGAAAAGTATAGAATCGAAAGGATCTGAATAGCTCAGCTGGAAGAGCAGTCGCCCGGCAAGTGAAAGGTCTCGGGTTCGATTCCCGATTCAGCGATTTTCGGATCTATATTTTTCTCTTGCATTCATTTATTTATTTTCCGTAGGGGGGTTAAAGGGGTATTGAAATTAAATCTCAAAATATGAGATTATTTCATATTTAAAATCTTGGCCGTGTCCAAGTAAAAATTTGGTGCCTTGTGCACCGGTATTTAATTCTAACGAAAAATTATTTAGTTTCGTTAGGATAACGCATTGTCATCCGCGATTTGGCTCTTGTTGCCCGTCTTATACGTTAAATTTATATTTATATTACAGAGCCTTGTTAAAAACTCTTATATTTGATACACGCTGGCTTAAAAAATGCGTTTGTTTACCAACATTAATATATATAACAGAGAAAAGTATAGAATCGAAAGGATCTGAATAGCTCAGCTGGAAGAGCAGTCGCCCGGCAAGTGAAAGGTCTCGGGTTCGATTCCCGATTCAGCGATTTTCGGATCTATATTTTTCTCTTGCATTCATTTATTTATTTTCCGTAGGGGGTTAAAGGGGTATTGAAATTAAATCTCAAAATATGAGATTATTTCATATTTAAAATCTTGGCCGTGTCCAAGTAAAAATTTGGTGCCTTGTGCACCGGTATTTAATTCTAACGAAAAATTATTTAGTTTCGTTAGGATAACGCATTGTCATCCGCGATTTGGCTCTTGTTGCCCGTCTTATACGTTAAATTTATATTTATATTACAGAGCCTTGTTAAAACTCTTATAATAATTTTTATTTAAGAAAGAATTAAATATATATACATAATGTGATCACAACAATTGTTAATAAATAGTCGAAAAGAAACTTTGAAGGTTATTGTGACATAAAAATTTTGATATTAAATATGTATATGTGTATCAAAACTATATTAATTTACAAATGAGATATTTTAATTAAATTATTCTAATAACATGCTTTAAAAAACAATACATTATTAACGAAAGCGTACTAAATATCATTTATTGATAATATTTTTCCAATGGTAGATTTGATAATTACATGTTATATAATTTCTGATAATGTAAATTTTAAAAACAATTCATTATATTGTAGTATATTTCGTTATTAAATTTTTCGTTTAAATTAATCTTAAAAATTTTTATTAACTGATATGATAATACATTTAAGACATAGAGGTAAAAATTTGATAAATAATTATACAATTAAATAAAAATTATATTATATTAAGTATAAATTAAAATATAAAGACTCACACACAGTAGAATCTTCGAATTGTATCGATTCCAACATTTCATCCGATGCCAAATATATCGTCTCCAAAACATCATTTTGATTGAGAAAAGTAATTTCCTGTCTATTGACTTCCACATCATTACTTCGATTTGGAGTAAAAGTTTTCTTTTTGTTGCAGGTTTCCGAATGACTTTCTTCGTTTAATGTCTCCTGCTGTATGTTAAGTATTCTGTAAATGAGTAGCGTATATCAATATAATATCGTGATTAATAAAATATATTTTATAAAACTTTTATGTCGCAAGTTACAAGCTCTTCCATTTAAATTATGTAAAAGATTATTATATTGCGAACTTTAAAAAAGAATCGGTAAAATAGAATTTCTTTTATATAAGAAAGCAGTTATAAAAATAATGTAAATTATTACTAAAAAGCTATCAATCGATTTTAACTAACAAAATTAGCTATTCTCTGTAACAATAATTTAAAAATTTATAAATAAAAAATGAAAATATTAATAAAAATAAGTATATTAATAAATTTACTTGTTAAGCGAGGATTCCTTTAAATTAATTTGGGACGAATGTTTATTTCCATTATTTTTTTTCTTATCCTTTTGATGTTGGTTAACTTTTTCCATTTTTTCTTTTATCTCTTTTTCTTTCTCGTTCCTTTATTTAAAACTAAAACAAAAACGTATACTATAATATATCGCATAAAGTGTAATTTTATGTTAAAAATAGAAATTAAATCGCAAGAGTTTTATAAGAGAGCAATATTAATATCGAACAAAATTTAAAAAAAAAAATTTTTTTTATTTTAAAATTTAAAAAATTTTAACAAAATTATAATTTAAATTTTAAAAAATAATTAAGTAATGTAATAATTATTAAATTTGTTTATAATGTATAATAATTTATAAAATAATTATTAAAAATATATCAATAATTTAGCTCACCTCTTCGAACCTCCTGTAGAATTGAGAAGATATGTTGCTATGTATAAAGAGTAACATATTTTGTTTTATCGTTGCTATAGAAAATTCGATGACGTTAAAGTTGTGTTCTAAAATCACTATTAATATTGAAAATTTATAATTCACGTCACATTTTAGAACACAACTTTAACGTCATCGAATTTTCTATAGCAACGATAAAACAAAATATGTTACTCTTTATACATAGCAACATATCTTCTCAATTCTACAGGAGGTTCGAAGAGGTGAGCTAAATTATTGATATATTTTTAATAATTATTTTATAAATTATTATACATTATAAACAAATTTAATAATTATTACATTACTTAATTATTTTTTAAATTTAAATTATAATTTTGTTAAAATTTTTTAAATTTTAAATTTAAAAAAATTTTTTTTTTTAAATTTTGTTCGATATTAATATTGCTCTCTTATAAACTCTTGCGATTTAATTTCTATTTTAACATAAAATTACACTTTATGCGATATATTATAGTATACGTTTTTGTTTTAGTTTTAAATAAAGGAACGAGAAAGAAAAAGAGATAAAAAGAAAAAATGGAAAAAGTTAACCAACATCAAAAGGATAAGAAAAAAAATAATGGAAATAAACATTCGTCCCAAATTAATTTAAAGGAATCCTCGCTTAACAAGTAAATTTATTAATATACTTATTTTTATTAATATTTTCATTTTTTATTTATAAATTTTTAAATTATTGTTACAGAGAATAGCTAATTTTGTTAGTTAAAATCGATTGATAGCTTTTTAGTAATAATTTACATTATTTTTATAACTGCTTTCTTATATAAAAGAGATTCTATTTTACCGATTCTTTTTTAAAGTTCGCAATATAATAATCTTTTACATAATTTAAATGGAAGAGCTTGTAACTTGCGACATAAAAGTTTTATAAAATATATTTTATTAATCACGATATTATATTGATATACGCTACTCATTTACAGAATACTTAACATACAGCAGGAGACATTAAACGAAGAAAGTCATTCGGAAACCTGCAACAAAAAGAAAACTTTTACTCCAAATCGAAGTAATGATGTGGAAGTCAATAGACAGGAAATTACTTTTCTCAATCAAAATGATGTTTTGGAGACGATATATTTGGCATCGGATGAAATGTTGGAATCGATACAATTCGAAGATTCTACTGTGTGAGTCTTTATATTTTTAATTTATACTTAATATAATATAATTTTTTATTTAATTGTATAATTATTTATCAAATTTTTACCTCTATGTCTTAAATGTATTATCATATCAGTTAATAAAATATTTTTAAGATTAATTTAAACGAAAAATTTAATAACGAAATATACTACAATATAATGAATTGTTTTTAAAATTTACATTATCAGAAATTATATAACATGTAATTATCAAATCTACCATTGGAAAAATATTATCAATAAATGATATTTAGTACGCTTTCGTTAATAATGTATTGTTTTTTAAAGCATGTTATTAGAATAATTTAATTAAAATATCTCATTTGTAAATTAATATAGTTTTGATACACATATACATATTTAATATCAAAATTTTTATGTCACAATAACCTTCAAAGTTTCTTTTCGACTATTTATTAACAATTGTTGTGATCACATTATGTATATATATTTAATTCTTTCTTAAATAAAAATATTATCTTTTGTTGTAATTAACAAATAAAAGAACATAATATTTAATATTTTAGCTTGATAATTAAAACAAATTAAAATATTATTATATTACTAATTTTAATAAAAATTTATTTAGAGAAATTGTTGGATTTATCGATGAAATTGACGGTCCGAAGATAGTTGGTAAATCCCAACATTATAGATTGTTAAAATTTTGGTGAACAACAACAGTAAACATCGCATTCAAGTTGTTGCCTGGAACGAAGAAATTGATCGTATAAATTTTTATATACAACCAAATCGAGTAAGCGATACATTTTTGTATAATTTATTTTTTATAACATTAAAATTATTATTTTTATTATCATTTTGTTGTAATATTTAAAAAAAAGTTTATTCCAATAAAGTACATATAAAACAGTAGTATTAGAATAATATTAATTTAATATACATATTTAATTTAATAATATTTGTTAATTTTGCAGATTGTGCATATTGATGGTGCTAAGGCTAAAAAGGTAAAAATACCTGAATTCAACAAAGGGACACTTCAATACGAACTAATTATTCGATCCAACACGACAATAAATACGTTGGGTAATTTTGACCTAAAAAAAAACATTCAAGCGGTGCAACCACAATTAGTGGAATTGTGTGATGTACCTCAACATCTTAATGCATGCATTAGTAAGTGTTTTTATATGTATATAATATACTTTATACTAAAATCCGGTATTTCTTATATATCGATAAACATTTGTATGCAAACGTACGTATAAATATGTAACTATATGCTTTTATAAATCTTTTATATACATATTTTTTACATAATTTCTTATTTTTATACTGTTTGATTTTTATAATTATGAGATTTAAATATTTTCTATAAGTCAATTCGTTATAATACAGTGATAAACTAAAAATGATACTGATGAACTAAAGATGAATCTTGTGATAAACTAAAAATTAATAAAATTTTTTTCAGTTATACGTGGATACATTAAAACGAATTTTAATAAATTTCTAAATAGTTTTAAAACAATTGGCTGCGGATCCATTACAGATAAGACGTATAAATTGGAGATACAAATAGTAAATTATGATAATGATGTCTACTTTGACAAGGGGCAAATGATTGAAATGAAAGGATATGTAAAAATTATGAGTAAGCTATGTGAAAAAGTTTTAAAATTTCCAAAATATAATTACTATATAACTGTCATTAATATTATAATTTTATCATTTAGATGACATATTTTATTTGGAGATTGATCATTCAACAGACATAAAGCAAATAGGAGAGGAAAAGTTATCATTTCAACAATTATTGTTGGGTACAAGACCAATTGTAAAAAAAACATCCAATGAAGATTTAGGATTACCACCACGCAAAATGATTCGAAAATAATGATTCTTTTCCATTTTATTAAATAATATGTGAAAATAATTCTAATATTTAAAAAAATTTTTTTTTAACGCGTTCACAATGTTTGGTTATAATTAGTTTCACTTTCGTGTTATTTAAACGTTATAATATTTTGAAAGTATTATTTTATATACTCTTCTAGAAACTATATATAATATCAAGTATCAATTTTTTATCGAACTTTGACATTAAGTAAAATATAATTATTTCAATGATGTTAAAAATAAATGTCACCATTCGTTACATAAGTAATGGTTTTTCAAAAATGATGTTATGTATTATAATGTATTTTATGAAATAAAATTAAATTTTATGTAAAATGTTTTCGTAAGCAAATTGCATTACGACAATTTATAGGATATTTTTGTACTTAATTATTGTGTATATCATATGTTGTATTATTATATATTGCAAGAATGTAGATATTATTCATATTTAATTTTAATACGGCCGAGATATCGAGTACAATAATTATATTTAAATCAGAATTCAAACTACAGGATTAGTCGTTTATTAATCATCATTCATACTTTCTATGCAGATGTAAAATAAAAATAATTTTTCAAATCGAAGGCTTCTTTTTCTTTTTAATATTATCGATCTCTGTTTTTTATGTTTAATTTACTCAGGAGTAAGCAAAAAGATAGCCTATTTCGACATAATAATTAGTTTAATGTATCATAAATTTCGGCTACAGAGTACTGAAGTAAAATGATATTATATCTTTTTCTCTTAATTATTTTATAAATAGATAAATTTGCTTAATTATTTAATTAGAATCCTATAAATTGTGATAAAAAAAATAAAAAAAAAAAATTAAGATTTATTTGTATTAAATATAATAAAAAGATCTGTATATATATTTATATATATACTTACTTTTTTTCATTCGTCGATCACTGCTTCATCTTATTTATGCCTTCTTTTTTATAAATATATTATTTTCTACTAAATCTTGCGTGACACGACACAAGCTCTTAAGAAATATTATATAACACATACCGAGATCACTACACATTTAACCTTTATTATCACGATACGAACTGTCATTATTATAATAACCGCGATCAAGTTCGCCCCGTACCTCGAATCGACCACCAATCACGTATACGCGGAAAAACGGCAACAAGACTTTCGACTCCAAACACGCACTTCACGGGTACACATGACTTTTTTATAGTAGATTATTAATTTAGATTATTTTATAGTAGATTATCGCGCGCTTCGCGCGCGCCAATGCGATTATCTTATTCTCGATATTTTACAGCATATAATTTGTATATTATTGCAAAACTAAAACTTATCTATTTTAATATATAATTCCTACCTCTTCCAATATTTCTCTTCTTTTTCTTTCTCATTTACTTTCTTCTCCTCTTTACTCTTTCTCCATTTTTTATACATTCTATTGTATATTTTCTTTTTCGATTTTCTTGCTTTCTCCTCATACTTGATCTCCATTTTCAATGCTCTCATTTTTATTTCTTTCATTTTCGTCTCTTCCATTATTATGTAATTTGGCGTTCTTCTGTCCAATCTTCTGCTAATCTCCATTTCACATATTTTCCTCTTTATTTTGTCTAGTTTTTCTT